CTTATCTTGCTATCCTCTTATTTATTTTTCCTTCAGTGTTGGGAATCTAATGTCAACCCAGGGCCTCCTGTATGATAGGCAATTGCTCTACACTAAGCCACATCCCAGCCCCTTCTCATTATTCCTTTGTTTGTTTGTTTTTGTTTTTTGTTTTTTTGAGACAGGGTTTCTCTGTATAGCTTTGCACTTTTCCTGGAACTCACTCTGTCGCCCAGGCTGGCCTCGAACTCACAGAGATCCGCCTGACTCTGCCTCCCAAGTGCTGGGGTTAAAGGCGTGCACCACCACCGCCCGGCTCTCATTATTCTTTTACAGTAGCTTAGCTGATATAGGAGACAGGGTTCTCCAAAGAAAGAACCAACGTTCATTCTTTCTCTCTCCCTTCCTCCCCTCCTTCTCTCTCCCTCCCTCTTCATCTGCCATGTAAGTCGCAGGTTCGTAACTCAGAAAAGCCAATAGTTTACTTTCAATCCAAGTCAGAGGAACAGCAAGTGCAGGATCCAGGAAAAGACAGTGTTATCGGTTTTTTTGTGTTTGTTTGTTTTGTTGGTTGATTTTTTCAAGACAGGGTTTCTCTGTGTAGTCCTGGTTGTTCTGGAACTTGCTCTGTAGACCTGGCTGGCATTGAACCCAAAGAGATCTGCCTGCCTCCTTCTCCTGAGTGCTGGGATTAAAGGTGTGCACCCCACCGCCTAGCCCAAAGGACCTGATCTTATGCAGATCTTGTGTAGTCATCAGAGTGGCTTGATTCAAGAGTGCAATGGCCTTGAACTTGTGTAGCCAAGGATGACCCCAACCAAGATCCTGATCCTTCTGCCTCCCTGTCCCAAGTGTGGAGATTACAGGTTTGTACCACCATGCAATCAATACTTGAACACCACCTGCTTGTAATGTTGCAGGGAGCCACAAGAAGCAACAGTCTTTGTTGTGTGGGGTGCAGACACCAGCCAGTACCTTGGGGTGTTGCAGTAGCAGGTCTTTGCCTCCACTGTCTCACATTTCAAGGGAGCTGAGGAGGCCACGAGAGTTCCCAGTGACTCTGGGACAATGGGAACGTCTTCACTTAAGGAACAGTCCTGTAAAGGGAGCGTGCTCAGCGGGTGGGGGGGTCACACACCTTTAATCCCAGCACTCAGGAGGCAGAGGCAGGCGGATCTTTGTGAGTTCGAGGCCAGCCTGGTCTACAGAGCAAGATCTAGGACGGTCAGGGCTACACAGAGAAACCCTTTAAAAACAAACAAAAACAAGAAAGAGGGGGTAGGGGAAGCATGCTCTTTTAGGGCTCCTGGGCTGCTCTCCCCTGAAAGTTTCAGTGGTGTTTGTTTGTTTGTTTGTTGTTGTTGTTTTGGTTAGTTTTTGTTGTTGTTGTTTTTTGTTTGTTTGTTTTTGAGACAGGGTTTCTCTGTAGCCCTGGCTGTCCTGGAACTCCTTGTAGACCAGGCCTGCCTCTGCCTCCTACGTGCTAGGATTAAAGGCACGTGCCACCACCGCCTGGCTCGCTCTTTGTAGTTGTGGCCAGGGCTGGCATGGGAACTCAAGGGTACTTTTAGGCACACAGCCTTCTTTTACCTCTCTATGAGCCTTCCTTAAAAGGTGAATCCCATTCTCAAAGTTGGCAGCTAGGGCTCCAGCCATCCCATCTATATCCCAAGTGGGAAGGGGTAAAATTAGAGTTCTAAAGCTAAGGTAAATGATGGAAAATAATTGAGGTTCTCCGAGTTAGCCCGTGGGCTGCTTAGCTGTGTGTGTTTCTTTGTTTATTTTGTCAACTTGACATTGCTAGTCATCTGGAAGGAACGAACCTTAATTGGGAAAATGCCTCCATCAAGGTGGCCTGTAGGGAGTCTGTGGAGCATTTCTTGATTAGTGTTTGAAGCAGGAGGGTAGTGCCACCCCTGGGCAGGTGGTCAAGAGCGCAGCCAGTAAAGACATTCCTTCACGGCCTCTGCTCCAGTCCTTGCCTTCAGGTTCTTGGCCTGACTTCCTTCTATGATGGACTGTGATCAGACATGTAAGCCAGATAACCCTTTCCTCCTCAAGTTACTTTGGGTCATGGTCTCTATCACAGCAACAGAAAGCAGACTTGAACAGAGTGTATGTTGTCTAATGAAGTGATGGGCTCAGGACCTATCCCACCCTCAGGTCTGCTGTGATTTCTGTTTTGTACAATGTGTGGGATGGCAACATACCACGGTGCATGTGTGGGAGTCAGAGGATGGCTTTGGAAGTCAGTTCCCACCTTCCACCATTCATGTCTTAGGGATTAAACTCAGGCGGTCAGACTTGGTGGCAAGCACCTTTACCCATTAAGCATCCCCCGCTTTGTAAAACATAAGGTATGGCAAGGGTTTGGGGTCACTGTGTTGTAGAGCCCTGGGGTGCTATGCACCACCTGTGTGCTGTAGATGGCTGCCCTGGCTGTGACAATGTCACCTGTGTGCTGTAGTTGCCTGCCCTGGCTGTGACAATGTCACCTGTGTGCTGTAGATGGCTGCCCTGCCTGGGACATCACCTGTGTGCTGTAGATGGCTGCCCTGGCTGGGACATCACCTGTGTGCTGTAGATGGCTGCCCTGGCTGGGACATCACCTGTGTGCTGTAGATGGCTGCCCTGGTGATGACATCACCTGTGTGCTATAGATGGCTGCCCTGGTGATGACATCACCTGTGTGCTGTAGATGGCTGCCCTGGTGATGACATCATCTCCCTGGTAAAGATCTGTTCTATGAATGTCTACTGTTCTTCACAGCTAGTCATAGCTATTTCCTAGTTGATGGGAAGTTAATACTTCTTTTTTATGACTAGGAAGCTGCAAGATGGTTTGTATTTCACTGTGACATTTTTTTAAATCAAGACTTTGAGAATATTGTCTACTAGTCCTCCAGATTGTCAGCTCTTGTCTTTATGATTTTGTTAAGTTGGTATTTTATTGTAAGCCCTAGATCCCATTTCCCTTAAAAGCAAGCTTGGAATCAACAAATAAAGTCAGGATAGTAATTATTAGACACAAGGAACACTGACAAAGCCTGGGACAGATTTCTTCAAGTCCTTCAGGGATGATTGTGACCAAGGGGGTAAAAATAAAGCATGAAAAATGTCACAATAGGAGGAACATGCACATCTTTGATACTGGATTAAGAATTTCACAAGTCAGTCTACCAGATAAAAAGGGGCTACACTCCTCCTGGAATAAAAGTAGAAAAAAGCCACAGAGGGTACCTGTAGTGTGAACTCTAATTTGTCTTAATAATAAAAACCTGTGGCATCCAACTTTTGGGGCTCAAATTAATGAAAAAGCCGCTTGCCTGAGGCTTTGCAGCCTCTGGCACAGACCAGAGCTGCACATGGCTAGAGTCAGTACCCCGCTGGCTAAGGTTTTCTTTTCTTGTCCTCAAGCCTTTGAGGGAGTTGGGATTTTTCTGTTACAGGCTCTCTGAAGCAAACTCCACACACAGGCGTCTGGGCTCCAAATGCTGCAGGAGATAGCCGCTTTCCCATGTGTCCCCCCACCCCCACCCAGTGTAGACAACTGGCTCTTTGGCTTCTTCTCTCCCAGTGGGTTGTGGGCTTTCCCTGGACTCCCTTCTCAGACTGCTGCCAAACTAAGTAGCTGCTTTGAAAACCCACTTGGGCTTCTACTATTCTACGCAGAAGCAGTCAGCCTCACATCTGAATCATCGTCATCTACAGATTTGGTGAGACAATTGGGAATTCTTAAAGGGAGGAATTAGTTAAAAGAGAGAGTTTTTTTCCCCACATTAAAAAATAGGAAACACTATTACAATGGAGGGAGTTATATATCTGTATGATAATATGCTGGATGGTTTGAAAATGGAGCAATTAAATGAGAGGATAATTAATTTAGATGGGATTTACATAATGTCAATTATAAATATTATGTTTGATCATTTTTGTTTTATTATTTAAGAAGTTGTTTAATATGAGTGCCAAGATAAAAGTTTTAGAAAAACTTGTTATAAAAAGATCATAGAGCTATTCAGACACAGACAGAGGAATTTAAAGGAGAACCAATCTCAGCATTGCATTATAAGGTTAGAGAGGAACAGCCTAAGGTTTACAAACAGCCCACCTTAATTTATCCTGGAACCTTACAGAAACTGCAAAATGACAAATGTCCCCAAGGCTGTGTAAGAGCTGAATGGACTCCTGTGCAGATGTTAGATTTGAAGAGATTCTTTTCTTTATGACAATGAGACATGTCTGCTCCTGGCAGCACCAATCTACTTCAGAGAAGATGATGGGTATCAAAGAAACTCCTTATGGAGCTTACTTCCTTGTAGCAAAATTTAGCCACTGGGCATGAAAATTTCCTTGCCTTGACTGCTGACAGTATGCTGTCCAAAGTAGACAAGCAGGACACAAAAGAAAGGACTGTCAAACTTTGCCAAGACAGGGTAGGACAACCCTTCAGAAAATCCTGCTTCACAGATAAGTCTGTCAGACATTCTAGGCTGGTAGGCTGAAGATGGTTGCCCCAACGTTGCAAAGGAACCTTAGGTGACTGTCTAGACAGCCAGCTACTTCTGTCATTTTTCACATTTTTTGGAAGTTGCTTGCTTGCACTTCCTGCTTACTCAGAAATATTATATCCTTCTCAGGTCTCTAATGGAGTTGAAAACTTTATAGTTATAGTTTTCCTTGTTACCAGATTCAGAAAAGAAATTCACTAAAGAGGTGTAAAGTGTGTAAGACTGAGAGACATTGAAAGATAATTTTGGTAATGCAAGTTTGAATAAAAAGTGAATTAGGTACAACCTTTTGGACTCACCAAAAATCGGATAGATAATAGAGTATTTTCTCCGAATTTGTCAAATGTTTTTGGACTAGACATTATGGATGTAATTATTGCCTGTATATACTGTATGTAGTTATTGTACTTATTGTATATAATTTTTCTTATATTATTTATAACTTTTTTATTTAGACAAAAAAGGGGAAATGTGGTGATATTTTGTTTGTGCTCTAACAAATAAAGCTTGCCTGGAGATCAGAGTGTGGAGCTGGCCACTAGAGGCCAAGCAGTGGTGGCACACACCTTAATCTCAGCATTTGAGATCACATGCCTTTGATCCTAGTACTTGGGAGGCACATGCCTTTAATCCCAGTACTTGGAAGAAAGAAACAGGAAGTGATATGGCTGGAAAGAGAGAGGAAGTGATAAGGCGGGGTAGAGATAGGCGCTCTGCCTTTGCAGTCTAAGGATTCCTAGCAGTAAGAAGTTTCACAGTTGCTGGCTACACTGTTTCTCTGGTCTTTCAGTTTTCACCCTGCTATCTGACTCCAGGTTTTTATTATTAAGACCAATTAGAATTCACACCACAGGCACCTGGATATGAACCAGGGACCTCTTGAACTACAGTCAAATGCTCTACCCCTAAGCTATATTCCCAAACATGATAGCTTCTGGTAAAACTGCTTCATGATCACTGACCTCTCCAGCTGTGCTATGGCTGGGTTGTCTTCTGGGGACTATCCAAGCCGTTCTTCTGCCCACGCCCCTACAAGGCTCAGATCTGCTCCCTTCCCTGGGTGTTCCCACGCCCTCACACCCAAGCACCCCTCTCCAGGAAGCTTTCTCTCTTTCCACACTGTTCCACTATTGGATACCAAAGCTCTCTGGTCATGCTTTCTACTTCCTTTGCATCTTTTCCCACGCCCCACTTGTTTTGGTTTTTCTTTCCCAGTGGCAAAGGCCTAGGCCATAGAGGAGGCTGTTGCAGGGCCTGACCAATGCCAGGAGAGGCATCTGGCCCACTATGCTGCAGTCTCATGTTTGGATGAAAGTGGTGTATGCAAGAGTAGGGCCAGATGTTAGCAGAACTGGAGAGCCTAGGATGGGCATGGAGACTGCTTGCTTCGGGCCTTGAAGAGTGCCTACCTTAGTAAATGTTCTACTATTGAGCTGAGCGTGAGACACACACCTCTAATCCCAGCACTTGGGAGGTAGAAGTGGGAGGATCAGGAGTTCAAGGTCATCCTTGGTGTCTTGGTTGATTGTTGTCAATTTGACACCAACTGGAAAGAATCTCAACTGAGAAACCCTCCCTGTTCTTGACTGATGATTGATATGGGAGGGCCCCGCCCACTGTGGGTGGTGGTGTTCCAAATCAAATGATCCTGGAATGTATAGAAAGCAAACTGAGCAAGCCAGTAAGAAGCATTTCTTCATGGCCTCTCATTCCATGCCTGCTTTCAGGCTCCTGCCTTGACTTCCCTCAGTGGACAATAACCTAGGATATGTAAGCCAAATCAACCACTTACTCCCGAAGTTGGTTTTGTTCAATGTTCTGTCACGGCAGTAGAAACCTAACTACGACTCTCGGCTACCGAGGGAGTTGGGGGCCAGCCTGGATGGCATGATAAAGACTGCCTCATAAAAGAACAAAGTGGGGGCAGTGGGAGGGCTCAGCAGGTAAAGCACTTGCCCCATGCACAGTAAGAGGAGTTGCTGCTCCTGCAGAGGATCCCAACACTCTCATCAGCAGGTCCACAACCACCTGTGACACCAGCTCCAGGGCATCCAGCACACGTGAGTGCATACAGCAAAAAGTCTGGGTTGTTTTGTTTTGTTGAGACGGGTCTTCACTGTGTAGCTCTGGCCGGTCTGGAACTCACTTTGTAGACCAGGCTGGCTTCACTTACAGAGATTTGCCTGTCTGTATCTCCTCAATGGTACTGTCATGCCTGACTAATCTTTCTTTTTTAAAGACAATTCCTAAAAGGTAACACCAGAAGAAGGTGGAGTTCTTGCTGAAAACGGGTGCATGATTGGATGGGACTTGGGAGTCAGTGAAGGATGAACAGCTTGATTAGATGCTGATAATGAGCAGGTTTCTAGGGTGATTCCTGCTAAACTGACGTGGGAGAGTTCTTTGCTAAGGCTGATTTTACAGTGGCATGCACAGAGGGGCCTGTCTGTGGTTGGGGTCCCTGGGAAAGCTGGGCCTGATGTTCTGCTCTGAGAGGTAAGGATCTCTGGTCAGCTGTTTCCTGCAACAATGATCTGCATGCTGCCTCTTAAAACACCTGACTCACTGACTGTTCTGATAGTGCAGTGGGACTGTACATCTCTCTCCAGATCAGCTGCCATAGTGTTATGCTTTATCATAAGAGTGCAGTGGCCCCAGAGAAGGGAGAATCCATGTTCCTGATGGCAGTGTGCTTTCTTGGCAGGTTCCTGCAGCAGTGGTGCTGGTGGCCAGGGTCTGGACCAGATTGCAAAGGAGCCAGGAATGCTTACTCAAAGCAAAGCCGGAGAACAGACCAGAAACACACTGCCAAGACTGCCGGTGAGCCTCATCAGCGAGGGTGCCCAAGGTCTCCAACTATTAAACACATTTCTAAGCCGGTGAGCCCTGTGAATGCCCAAGGTGCCCGATTATGGGGTTCAAGAGAAGGAGGAGCTGGCTGTGGTGGTGCAGGCCTTTAATCTCATACTATGGTGGCAGAGGCAGGTGGATCTCTGTGACTTGGAGGCCAGCCTGGTCTGTATGGGGAGTTCCAGGTCAGCCAGGGCTACACATTGAGACCTCATCTCACAAAGAAGAGAGGAGTTTGTTGCTAGGGCTTTATTTGGTGGTTCTCTGTTTTGACTGACAGGCTTGGATGACGTAAGCCTGTGCTTACTATGTATGTTCCATCCTACAATACATCTAATTTTAACCATATGCACACCCACTATAAATAGGTGTAAGATGATAAATAGGGGATTTTCCCTAGAAGTCTGCCTTATTGCGCATGCACCTAAACCCTGGAGTTCCCGGAAGTGTTTAATAGAAGTGAGGCATTATGGAGGAGTGGTTAGGTTTTGGTTGTTGTTTGGTTGGTTGGTTTTTGTCAGTTTGGCACAAACTAGAGTCATCTGGAAGAGGGAACCTCAGTTGAGAAAATGCCTCCATCATATGGGACCGGGCAAGCCCGTGGGGCATTTTCTTGCTTGATGGCCCCACAGCGGGGAGGGCCATCCGGGCACAGGTGCTTCTGTGCAAACCAAGAATCGGGTGTGGCGGCGCCCGCCTTTAATCCTAGCAGAGGCAGGCCGACCTTTGTGAGTTCTCCGCCCGCCTCATCTACGTAGTTCCAGGCCAGCCAAAGTTATACAGTTATTCCACGGCGAAGGAAGGGAAGGGAAGAAGGAAAGAAAGGGGAGTGAGAGAGAGAGAGAGAGAGAGAGAGAGAGAGAGAGAGAGAGAGAACTGAGCAAGCTAAGGAGATTAAGCCGGTAAGCGGCACTGCTCCATACCTCTGCTCCAGTCCCTGCTCTGATTTCCCTTCATGATGGACTTGAAGTTGTGAGGTGAAATAAGCCCTTTCCTCCCTAACTTGCCTTTGGTCACGGTCTTTATGAAAGCAGTAGAAAGCAAAGGAGAGGAACATAAATAAAGTAAATAAAGCAGGGGATTATGCTTCTTCATAGCTGGGCCTGTCTAAAGCAGGCATACTGCAGTTCTATGTGGATGGAGGTTGTGGGTTGCAAACAGATTCTGAGAGGGGTGTGTGCAGAGTCCCCCCTTGCTAAGCTATTCCCATGTTAGCCTCCCTCAGCAGGTAGCAGCTGCAACTCCTGCCTCCTGGAGTGCTTGGGACCAGCAGCACCCAGCATCATGCACCAGTTCGGGGCACCTCCCCACATGGGTGGCTTCATCTGACTGGCCTCAGGCTGCTTTCAGGTACGATTGCTGTTTTTATGGTACACAGCTGAGCAAGACTGTTACTGACAATTCACCCCAGCACCTTCTTGAACTTTGAGAGCTAGCCAGCCGGAAGGAAGCTGCCGATTCAGTTCTCCAGCTTGATTCTTCTGTGTCCTGCAACCAAAGTGTTCGCCATAACCACCGGTAAAGTGCCAAGCTCTGACAGAAAATCCCCACACCCACGATTCCATAAGCAATGCACCGAGTCATCATAAAACGCTGTGAGGAGTGAGGGCCTCAGCAGGCAAAAGCCTTGAGTGCCTGGACCTGAGTTCCACCCTCAGAATCCACAGTAGTGGAGACCTGACTCCCCGGTGTTTCCTCTTTCTTTCAGACACCTGCTGTGACGCACACACCTGCACACATATTATACACGTAAGGGTAAGAAAGTAAGTAATTTAAGAAACTGTAGCTGGCTGTGGTAGCACACGCCTTCAATCTCAGCACTCAGGAAGCAGAGGCAGGCTGATTTCTGAGTTCGAGGCCAGCCTGGTCTACAGAGTTCCAGGACAGCCCAGCGCTACTCAGAGAAACCCTGTCTCAAAAAAAAAAAAAAAAAATGTTGTTGGATGTTTTTGCTCTTTGGGGGAGACTGCCACCCAGCTCCCAAATGAATCACACACAGAGGCTTATTCTTAAATAAATGTTCAGCCTTAGCTTGGCTTGTTGCTTGCCAACTTTCCTTAAATTATCCCATCTACCTTTTGCCCCTGGACTTTTCTGGTTCTCTTATTTCTATAAATCTTAACTCTTAACTCCATGACTTGCTTTGTAGCTGGGTGGCTGGTGTACTCCTCCTCCTCTGGCTAGTTTTTCTTTTTCTCCTTCTATGTATTTTCTCTGCCCGCCAGCCCTGCCTATCCTTTCTCCTGCCTTGCTGTTGGCCATTCAGTTCTTTATTAGACAGACCATCAGGTGTTTTAGACAGGCACAGTAACACAACTTCACAGAGTTAAACAAATGCAACATAAACAGAAGTAATACACCTTAAAATAGTCTACAACACAAAAAAATTTGTAAAAAGACATGAAAGTAGAAAGGGCCCTAGTTAGAAAGGAAGATGATAAGTGTGAGTGGAGGGCCAGGAGATGGCGAAGGGGTGAATGTGATCGAAATATGTTGGATACATGTGTGAAAATGTCATAATAAAACCATTGCTATATAATTATATATAACTAATATAGGCCACTAATTATTAAGGGGTCCCTGGTTCAAACCCAGATGCCTCCTTTGAGTGAAATGAATCCTTCTGGAGCCATTTTAGCCCCTGGAGGTAACTCAGCAGGACTGGGAAAGCTCAGAGTCCCTTTTGCACAGTTCAGTGCTCCACCTTTATACTGATTTGACTTTGATGGCCCTGTGGTAGTTTTAAAGTATGTTCACAGATCTTTGATAGTTCTCCCTGAAGGCTGTGAAGCTCAATTAACCTCCCTTTGAATGCGAGCTGACTTGGTAACACCATCCTAATGAACAGCATGTAACAGAAGTACCACTTCTGAGCCTGGTCACAGAACACACTGACTCTGCTCTCGCTTGGATCTCTGGGGCAAGTCAGGCGCATGTCATGAGGACACATCGAGCTGCTCTGTGAAAAGCCCCGTGAAGCATGAAGGGAGACCTCCTGCCAGTACCAGCCAGGCACTAAGTCCTTTCCAACAACCATGGCAGTGGGCTGGCTTGGAGGGGCCCCTCCTGGGACAGCTGGCTGACTGCTTATGGCAACCTCCTGAAGAATCAGAAGCACTAAGGTAAGTAAGTCCTTTCCTCACTCCCAGCCAAGGGAACCCTCAGATGTCCAAAAGGTAACTGATGCTCAAAGGGACTGCTTTGCCAGACTATACCTCCCAAAAAGCTAAAACAAGGCCGGGCAGTGGTGGCGCACACCTTTAATCCCAGCACTCGGGAGGCAGAGCCAGGTGGATCTCTGTGACTTCGAGGCCAGCCTGGGCTACCAAGTGAGTTCCAGGAAAGGCGCAAAGCTACACAGAGAAACCCTGTCTCGAAAAACCAAAAAAAAAAAGCTAAAACAAAGCTTGAGATTCCAAGTGCCTCAAGAGGATGTAGAATTTGAAGGAGACATGTGTGGGAGGGCTCATCTTGGTCTCTACCTGAGTTACAGGAAAGAGACCTTGTCTTAGCTACTTTTCTCAATGCTTTGTCAAAATACCTGATGGAATCAAGTCAAGGAGAGAAAGGTTTATTAGCTGACAGCTGAAGAAGTGACAGTCTACCAAGGTGGGGAAATCGTGGTGGCAGAAGCTGTGAGACAGCAGGAAACACTGGGGCTCAGCGCTTTTTCGTTGTTGTTATATGTATGTGTGTGGTATTGTGAGTGTGTGCATTCATATTTAAATATGTGTAGACACAAATGGATGTGTGGAGGCCTGGAGTAGATGCCGGGCATCTTCCTCTACTGCTCTTCACCTTATGTACTGAGGAGAGGATTCTCACTAGAACCTGGAGCTCGATGATTCGGCTAGTCTGGCTGGCCAGCTTGCTCCACGATCCTGTCTTCATCTGCTATGCCTGCTTTGGTAATTACTGGTTGCTGTGGATCCGAACCCTGGTCCTCATGCTCACACAGCGTGTGTCTTACTGTACCATCTCTCCAGCCTCCACTTTCTCCTTTTCATTCAGTCTGGGATCCCAGCCCATGACATGCTACCACCCACATTAAAGTAGGGGCTTCCTACCATCAACCTAATCCAGGAGCTCCCTCAGAACTCCTGAGGTTCATGTCCTAGGTGATTCTAGAGCCTGTCAAGCTGACAGCATTCACCATCCCAGATCCCAGCAAAGATGGCAATGAGTCCTCTAGTTTTTGCTTAGAAAGCAGCCCCTTCCCTTGGGGTTTGTCTTCTGCTTGGACTCCAAGCCAGAATAGAGTGTCATTTCATGTGGAACCTGCCGTGACCTTCCAAACTCGTGGCAGGAAGTGATGGTTTGTTGTTGTTGTTGTTGTTTGTGTTTTGGGGCGGGGTCTTTCTGTGTTGCCCTAGCTGTCTTGAAATCCATATGTAGGACAGACTGGCCAGCTCACAGAGACCCACCTGCCTCTGCCAGGACTATGATTGGTCAATAAATAAAACACTGATTGGCCCATGGCCAGGAAGGAACTATAGGCAGGACTAACAGAGAGGAGAATGGAGAGAACAGAAGGGTAGAGAGAGACACTGCCAGCTGCCGCCATGACAAACAACAGGTAAAGATGCCGGTAAGCCACGAGCCATGTGGCAAGGTATAGATTTATAAAAATGAATAAATTTAAGATATAAAAACAGTTACCAAGAAACCTGGCACGGCCATACAGTTTGTAAACACTATAAGTCTCTGTGTTCACTTGGTTGGGTCTGAGCGGCTGTGGGACTGGCGAGTGACAGAGATTTGTCCTGACTGTGGGCCAGGCAGGAAAACTCTAGCTACAGGTGATGGTGGTTTTGGAAAGTGTTGTAGAATATTATTTTAACATGTTACTTTTATTTATGCTCTGGAATGTTTGTTTAATGATGCAAAGATGTGTTTGATTAAATAAAATTCACCTGCAGTCAGGAGGCCGAGTCAGCAAGTAGCTGACAGGAAGTGGAAGGGAGGAGCCAGGTGGAGAAGGGTTTTTAAGGATGGGCAAAGAGAAGCACTAACCCCTAACCCTAACCCTGAGGGCTCGAGCAAGAAGAGGAGGTGAGCTACTTGCTATTCAGCCTCTCTGGAGAGCAGAATTCCACCTTAACCTTTGAATCTTGAGTTCTTTAGCAGGACAGAGATTTAGTTAAGTTCCCTTGGTAGCTTTGAAAGAGTCAGTGCCTTAGGGAACAGAATTCCCTCAGGCTGCGGCTCTTGCGGGCCTAACTGATACTGTAGTTGCTGATTCAGACAGCTATGGCTTAAAAGGCAGCAACAATCTTAAAAACCAGGCAAGAGAAAGTGGCACAAGGAAGAACATTTACAGTAAAAAGGACTAGTTAGAACAAGCCCCTGTACAGGTGAGATTAGAAGCCTAGAGAAGGGCTAATGACAAGCTCTTCTCAAAGGGGAGGGGCGTGGCTCAAGGGTAGAGCAATTGATTGGGATCAAAGGGCCCCTGGTTCCAGTCCATGTTCCTTTTTGGTTTTTTGAGACAAAGTTTCTCTGTGTAGCTTTGGAGTCTGTCCTGGAACTCACTCTACAGACCAGGCTGGCCTCGAACTCAGATCTGCCTGCTTCTGTCTCCTGAGTAAAGGCATGCATCACCACTGCCCAGCCCCATATTCCTTCTTTAGAAGGGTTTGTAGTTTGTCTGTTTCCCTCCTGGAGCTGGACTCACAATTAAGTCCTGTGCAGAAGAGGGTTGACGAGAGCCTGTGGACCAAACCCTGTGAACATTCCCTGTGCTTCAGGTTAGTGGCCGTGGAGACTAACACCGCTTCCTTTCCATAGTTCGCACAGGGCCGGTTTGTCCTTGGCTCCTTGTGTTACGTTGGCTGGCTTGCCTCTGCCTGTGCGATAAGTTAACTACTATTGCTTCATAATTGGAACTGGCGGATCTAGCTACCCCATCTCATACCTGTTCCAATGTCTTACAAACTTTCCTACCTGTCACGTAAACTTTAGACTTAAGGAGAGAACTGTTTTCCAGAACTTAATCTCTGATCTTCACACATGGCAAGTGTGCACCAATAAATAAACACACACACACACACACACACACACACACACACACACACACACACACGCACACACTGTTTTATATATATATACACATTATATTTTTTTTAATGAACTGTGGGAGCCCAGCTGGGAGACTGGTTTCCACATTTTACAACAGGGAACTCTTGAAGAGAGAGGGATAAGAGATATTAGATAGAAGGATAAAGGGAAGAAAAACAGAAACACAGGAGAGCCTAGGGAAGGCCTGGATCATTATCCACGGTCCCTCCTGTCTCTTCTAAAGGGCTATTTATAGGAATGCCAAGGGTGGAGCAAAAGACCTCCCCTAGCTCAGCCAAGTATAGACCCTTCCAATCACCTAGTAACTATGCACATGGTCAAGCAATCCTCTAATGCAGCTCTGCTGGGTGAATGAAGCTCAGATCTCACTAGGAAACCTTTGTGGGCCTCCACAATGAACTTTAGAATTGTTCTAGCCTGTCAGTAATTTGGTTGGAATTCAATGAATCTCTTAAGTTAATTCTATGAGAATTGAAGCATTTTACAAATGGAATATGGAGTACTTTTAACTATCTAGTGTACAATCTCCCTCAAGTTTTTATACTTTCCCAGGTGGAGGAAATTCTGCCAGTATTTTGATTGAGTTACTTCTAATGCTTCATATTTTATGCTATAACAAATATTATTTGTATACAGTTTATATTTTCTATTGTGCCTGAAATGTAGAAATACAATTGAGATTTTTTTCAATTGTTATTATTGTGGAGAAATTCACAGAACATATAATTTACCATCTCAACCAAATTTAAATTCACAGTTCAGTGGATTTTTTAAAGATTTATTTATTTATTATGTGTACAACATTCTGTCTGCATGTATGCCTGCATACCAGAAGAGGGCACCAGATCTCATTACAGATGGTTGTGAGCCACCATGTGGGTCCTGGGAACTGAACTCAGGACCTCTAGAAGAACAGCCAGTGAGTGTTCTTAACCTCTGAGTCATCTCTCCAGCCTCTCAGTGGCATTTAAAAAACAAACAAACAAACAAAAAAAACAAAAAACAAAAAAACACCACAGCTCATGATATTGGAGCCTGGGAGAAGTAGTTAAGAGTACTCTTGCAAATGACCCAGGTTCAGTTTCCCACATACATGTTGGCTCACAAACACTAATAACTCTAGTTCCAGGGACTCCCAAATACTTTTCTGGCCTCTGTGGACACCAGGCACCCACTTGGTGCACATACATGCATATAAACATTCATACATATAAAATAAAAATACATTTTTAAAAATAAAAATCTACAATGTGAGCTGGAGTACACTCATAAGTAAAAATAAAAACCTTTTGAAAATCAAATGTTTGAGGAGTTAGTGAAAACAAGCTATTGATCAAGAGCTTGGAACAGGGATGCCTTTAATCCCAACACCTGGGGAAGGAGCTGTCTCTGTGTGACGAGACCAGAACAGATCTGAACACTCTGTCTGAGGCCAACCCAGGACCCAGCTGCTGATCCTGTGAAACCCAACAACTTGGAGGTGTTGGTGAGACTACCCTGCTCAGCTGAAATCCATCCAGGAAAGAATTCAGAATCCTACAGTTTGCAGTCTGAGAAAACAAGATCAGCTGAGGAGCAAAACGTGATCTGAGAACACAAAAGAAGGCGCCACCCAACCACCTAACCAGATCACCAGAATTGTAAGTATACACTTCACTGACTGAGAACAGGTAAGCTCTCATCTCCAGACCAACAGGTCAGGTCTCTAGCCCCTAGGCCCTACCCATCGGAGCTACCTTTCCCTGCTCCCCCCTCAGCACCCCCCCCAAAAAAAACCCAAAAAACAAACAACAAAAAAATAACCCCTATGAACCTAACAAGCACTAAAAACCATAAGCACACCCTACACCAACTGAGAACAACTGCTCCCAGAGACAGAACCCACTAACACTGATTTGACTAAGCTGCTACCGAAACAGAGCCCAACAGCACCAATTTAACCAAGAACTCCTAGTGAACCAAGACTAAAAATTAGAACAAGAGCGGCACTCTCAGACACAGACACCACCTGCACTGAGCAGAGGAAGAGATGAGTAGACCCAGTGCAAAAATACCGGCAACAACATAAAGACCTACATGACAACATCAGAACCTAGCGATTCTACACCTGCAAGACCTGAACATACCAAGACAGAAGAAATAGAAGAAATAGAAGAAATCAATCCTAAAAATGACTTTAAGAAGATGATAGAGGCTCTTAAAGAAGAAATAAAAAAATTCCCTTAAAGAGGAAATAAAAAACTCCCTTAAAGAGGAAATAAAAAATTCCCTTAAAGAAATGGAAGAAAAAACAAACAAAAAATTGGAAGAAATCAAAGAAAGTCAAGAAAAAGTAATTAAACAGATGAAAGAAACGTTCCAAGATTTGAAAAATGAAATTGAGACAATAAAGAAAACACATGCTGAGGGAATGCTGGAAATAGAAATCCTGACTAAATGAACAGGAACTACAGAAACA